TGTAAAAATAAAATGCATATGTTTCAGAACGGATTGTACTTTACATTGAACCTTATGGGGAAATTGTCTCGGGTTACGACCAACTCGGGATACGTCCAGAGTCACGGAACGGATTTAGTTCGTATCCCGAGGTACCACTGTATTATAAATCTTCCACGATGTCCAGATCAGAAGAAAGAAGAAACATTGCTGTTGTATCATTTACCCTATAATCATCAGCTTCCAAACCCCATAATGAGAATACAGAATGGACCCAAGGGGAGGACTCCAAGGAGTGGCTGAGATCACTGCTGTTGACCTGAAGTTCAGAATTCATGGATGCCATAGTAGCAATTGAAGAATCACCACCAAACTGCAAAGAATAATACAGGAATGAGAATGAAGGATAGAACTGACACCTCAAGGATTTTTTTAAAAACGTTTTTTACAAAAATAACTTGACTAGACCCAATTTTGCTTCAAAATTTTGGAATATTTACAAAAACATCTAAACTAACTGACAGATAATACATATGATTTTTTTGGGTTGTTCTTGATGCAAAAAAATTCCTTAGGCACTTATCACTTGATGTTTACATTTCCTGAAAATGCTTGTTGAATGTAACAGAAGCTGAAAGCATACTGTACACAAACAGAGAGCAAACCCCATTCCGTTCTAGCACTGAAGATGTTACCTAGCTGGGTAACGACATGTTTGCAAGAAAACAACCAAGCTCTGAGAACCCCAAGGATTCCACTTTTTTTATTATTATGTATATTCAAGCGTATGTGGGACGCATGTCTCATGGAGGGTTGTGGATCTAGGAGCAGATAATGTTCTCCAACATTGCTTACTTCAATTAGGCACAAAATTTGCTCCTGAAGCCCCAAGAAGGAGAAGCAGATGAGTGTTATAAAAGAAATATTCACTAAGATTTTTTCTAGGCAGTTGGTAGGATCAAAGAATGGGGAATTTATTTATTTATCTATTTACTAAAAGGGGCTATAGGGCACCACATTCAACCAACTCTGAGTGGTATACAACTCCCCATTACATAAGTTGGGATTAAAAACAAACATAAAAATAATCAAATGTAACATTAAATTGAACATGGGTTAAGTACAGAAGGATGATGATTTCTAACTATGAGAGAGACCTGTTCTATTAAAAGTGATTTTTCTCTTTAGTTGTTTTAAAGCAATATTCAATAAATATTTATGAATAGTATTTAATTTCTGTATTTCAAAAATGTACTGGTAGAAGGGAATGGTGGGTAGGAGGAAATCTATGGAGGGCCCTAGATTGAGTTTAATCTCCATGAAATCAAGAGGCAAGGGATATGCTATTATTTTTTGCTTTTTTAGAAATAAAAATAAAATAGGTAAAATGATTTTAGCTTGGCATCTGTTCATTATTTGAGCTTTGGGAAAGACACACTGTCTTGGCAAGAAGATTGCCTATCTTCACTTGTTATGGTACTGAAGAATCTCCATTTTTCCAGGAGTTAAAGGCATGTAGCAATATATTTTTGTGGAATGAGGAAGTTTAGGTCAAAAGACACTCTGAAAAAGTCTTTAGTTCCAAAAGAAATGATCAACATGCTTCATTTGGGCATAAAGAATTGAGAACTAGAAAAGGTTATTTCCTAACAGAGGTTAAACTTAGATTAAAGTATACTCTGAATAATTTCATGAGATTCAGGTATACATATGGAGTGTTCAGGAACCCGGCAAAAGATGGAACTTGGAGCTCCAAATAGAGTTTCTGCGGGCAGGCTAGACATTGCCATTCCTACATTTTGTTTAAAAGCCTTGCTACAGGTAACTTCATGGAAACAGATTTAAAAAATCTTATTTTTAGGTATCTCAGGATGATTTGTGTTCACCTTTACAAACCGTGGGTGAGAAAGAGAAATTCACTATAGACAAACCTCAACATATTCAACATTTTCAAACATGTCACCACGGTGATAACGGACAGGTTGGTCCCACTGGCAATGCAAGCTGTGCTGCTGATTACCCAAGCGACAAATCTGATGGTTTCCTGCAAGATATGAAACATGTACATATACAGAGAGATATTGTATCTAGAAACATCTGTTTGCCAACAGCTATAATGAGCTACAGAACAAAAACTTTTAGCACAATTTAAGTTTCTATGGAACCATTTAAATAATTCAGAGGACTCCCATTTTGCAAATTGATAGATCTGACTTGAGAGAGACACGCATGCCTTTGCCTTCTGTACAATGTAGTTACCTACTTCAGAAGGAAGCCACAATTTTAGGGAATGTTGCTGCAGATGGTCCCATGAGCTTGCAAGATGGCTTTCTGAGAAGAATACAAGGACTTAATGCTTGAAATGAGATCCTGAAAGCCTTCACATGTTTCTATAAATGTTTATTTGAACAGCAACACTGACTTTGTTTAAATAAAATAGAACTTAACAATATGCATTTTTTTTATCATTCTAACATTTATCTGGCAAGTATTCTGCTCAATGTGTAAATGAATACAAAAGCGTTGGCTTTCCTGAAACAGAACTGAATTCTTTAGACAATCACATGGGTGCCTGCTTGGCTTTCATGTTTATTTATGAATATTTGTTATATGACAGATACCTAATTGTGCCTCTTTCGCCATCTGTGTTTCATGGATAATATTCCTCAGGATCTGCTCTTCCTGAATCAGTTTGTGCTTTTCTAAGATTTCCTGCTGCCTCAAGTAATGGTCATGTTGCTTCTGATATTCCTTCAATTCATTTAATGTTCGTTGAAGTGATCTTGAAAAACATCAGAGAAAATTCCATTGAACTTACTTTAAATGTCCTGCAAATTTACTTTAGTACTAATTCTGATGTATTGCTTTGTACTGCTGTTACTAGACACAATTGTTATATTATGTTATTTTTTATTATGTTAATGTTGTTATTACCTCAAAAAAAAAAAGAACAACATAGTATTAAAAGGAAAAGTAAACCAAGACAAAAGCAAGAATGAATTTTAAATGATTATTATTTGTTCTATTTTTTAAAATTGATGTTATATGTTATTTTAAACCACAATATAAAATACAACTGATACAAGAATGGCTAATATGATGAAAGAGCAGAAGCCCATTAGTTTTCCTTTGATGACAGCGGAATGAAGAAAGGCCTACCTGTGTTGAGCTTCAAGTTTTTGCTCAAGCTTTTGCTGGCATAGGACAGCATGCTTCCTTTTAATTGCTTGCTCAAACCCTGGCTTGGCCTGTAAAGCATGATCATAACATAAAACTGAGTGGTTGTATTCCCCAAGCATCTGAAAAAAGATTGAGAAGGAAAAAGATCTGTCAGCTGAAATAAGGTTATAATAGAAAGATCAGTTTTGAAATTTCAACTATCATCTTGATTATTAATTTCACCATGTGATTGTGTTGGAGGTAAAATTATGGTTACTATATTACTACTTCAGTGAGCTTTCTATTCCCCTTCCCTAACAGGATATAAATGATCTACTAACTTAAGACAGAATAATTTGTAATGGAGTAAAACAATGGAATGCTGTCATTCAAGAGAACTGAAATTAAGGTCTTATTTACTGCATATATGTTTCCTAAAGTATAATAGCTGGTGAAGACATCACTGTAATCCAGAGCAGCATGGACTACAATAGCTGCATCAGCAGAGAAGTGCGCTCTGTGTAACACGTTTGCCAGATTTATCAGTGCAACATCTTTATTATGCCTGAAAAGAAAAGAGACAAAATAATAAGTATGATTATTTATGTATTTTTTTTGTAAAAGCTGATCGATTTCTAATATGTGTGGTAGAAGTAGCAAGCTATCAGTCTGAGACTATGGAAAAATGCATTTCACTCAAACTGAAAATGCTAACTATACACAGGGCTTGATAAACTGCTGGCCCAACCCCATGTGAAGGATTTCTTTATTTCAAACCCATTATGCATCTAGTTTGCTATCCAAAGATTACCTTTAAACATATCGATTAAATGAGCAGATATATTGTAGATAAGGCCACTAGTTTAGCCTAATGTTTAGAAGTTAACAATTTAGCTGACACGTTCAGTGAGTTAAAAAACATGCATGAACAGATTTCTTCCTTAATAGCAGAATGAAAATTTAAGAATGAATTAATGTATGTATGTGTGTGTCTATATTTATAACTATCTGAACTGTAACAATAATTTTAATTAAAACATTCCCATATTGGCACAATAAAGTAAATTATAATTATGTCATTTATGTTCTGGGATAGGAAACATTTTGAAGTTAGTGTAAGTAACAGAGACAGCACCTTGTGTAAGTATCATGGCATTCAATTTATATTCAGTTATGTGGCTCAGAATAGCTGATAGCATTACTATACATCACAAGTAGCTAATGCAGAAATGAATAAGCCAATGTATAACATAGATGAAGTACTACTACTTAAATGTACCAAATGGATTATTTATTCGTTGATTAGATTTATATTACACTTTCCTTCCAGGACCTCAGTATTTGTTTCCTCCAACTGAAACTAAACAAGGGCAAACAGTATTAGTATTTATAATTATTAAGGTTAAAAACTCTCTACTAGATGCATTCAGCAAAATGAAAGATGAAGAAGCCCTTGAGTTGACTTTGATACCTGATGACTGGATTCTTGGTACGGTTAACAAAGTAATTTACACAGTCTTCTTCTTGTCTTTCTTTTTTTTAAATTTCCAACCTAGCCATCAGCCCTGATATTCTCAAGTGGTTCCCCATTCATATTCTATTTCAGCAATTAAATCATACTGAGGCCTAGTAATAATGGTAAGTTAGTGCATGAAAGCCCATTATTGTGTGATATAACTGCGTTTTCCTATCAAACTTGAGTTGCAAACAATAATAATTTAACTTAATTTTCAATTATATTATATTGCTAGTAAAGTCGATCTTTCTCATTAACATCTTACCTTGTAGAAAAATGGAGAGCTCGCATTGCACATTCCACTACTTGATATGGGTCATTTTTTATTCTCCAATAGAAGGAAGCCATATTGTATAACACCCAGGAAGATGAATTCTGTAAAAGGAATAATAAACGTGGAAAGAAATGATGACTTTTAAACTAAATATCGCCCCAAACATAACCCCATCTCTGTGTATACGACCATAACTTTGTTGGAGTAATTTTTTCTTCTAAAGACCTTTCAGATACCATATTCATGTATGTATGTACTGTATTAGACCTTTTTTGTTTAATCCCGCCTTTATTACTATATAAGTACTGTATTTATCAGTGTATAACACACACTTTTTTCCCTAGAATTTGGGGCTGAAATCCTAGCTGTGTGTTATATGCCAATATGCGTATTATACGCCGATGTATAAGCCCCTGTATAAGCCCTGCAGCTTCTCACCTCAAGCAGCAGGGCTTGGAGAGTGGAGCCTTTATTTGAGCCAGGGCTGTAACCAGGGCTGCAACCGCGTGCTTCCCACCTCCTCCTCCGACTGATGGCACTTAAACCATGCCTCCTCTGTTTGCAGTCTTTAGTAATATCACCCGCGCAGTCTGGCACTCAGTATGTCAGAGCAAAGCGCAGGCGTTTTGCTCTGACTCATTACTACACGCCGGACTGTGCAGGTGATGTCACTAAAGCACCGTGAGCTTCCCTCCTCTCTTTGCAGCGTTCCGGTGTGTAGTAATGAGTCAGAGCAAAGCGCCGGACCACACGGGTGATGTCACTAAAGACTGAAAACAGAGGAGGCATACCCTAATAATAAATTAATGTACCCCCCAATCCACTTTATTTTGCTTCCAAGTCATTTATTTTAAATTTAAGTTTTTTCCAAGTCATTTATTTTAAATTTAAGTTTTTTCCAAGTCATTTATTTTAAATTTAAGTTTTTTCCAAGTCATTTATTTTAAATTTAAGTTTTTTCCAAGTCATTTATTTTAAATTTAAGTTTTTTTACTCAAACTTCCTTCTTAAAATTAAGGCGCGTGCTATATACTGTGCGTGTTATATGCTGATAAATACGGTAACTCAAGGCGGCAAACATACATAATACTCCTCCCTCCTCCTATTTTCTCCACAACAAGCCTGTGAGGTAGGTTGGGCTAAGAGACAGTGACTGGCCCAAAGTCACCCAGCCAGTTTTTATGTCTGAGGCGGGACTAGAACTCACAGTCTTCTGGATTCTAGCCTGGAGCCTTAACCACTAGATCAAACTGGCTTTTAAAGAGAGTAAGGAAGTTTTTGGAAGCTGCACTTTGTGAGGAGACTGACAATTGCAAACTGGAGGGAGCTACATCACACACGCACACACACACACACACACACACACGTTAGGCTTTGGGGGAGGATTTATTTTTTAACAATGATATGCCTACTTTAAGAGTTATCTTAAAGTCATTCTGTTCATGAGTTTCCCATCTCAAAATGATGGGAAACTGTACTGTCAGTTTTCCGTAATCATGGTCAAAAGGGGCATTTAGGGCCACAGAAAGGTGAATAAGGCCTCCTGCTGCTTGGGCCTGCAAAGCTACTTGTATCTGTTCTAGATAATGCTGGTTTAAACAAAACAACAAAAGTAGTGACTATATTCATACCTTCATGAGACCTTCATATATGCGATGGCCTATCTCTTCTATATTCCTTCCTAATCGTCTTGATAGGTAATTCAATACAGGATCTTCTTTAGGTAACAAGGGTGCAGAAAGATTAACTCTTTCTTGAATACCCTAGATGGAAAGAGGAAAAGTATTAGCATTTGAATTCTTAAGATGGCTTGACTTTTTGGGAAAAAAAAGTTTTCCCCCCAGGTTCTATGTTCCCTTAAAGTTAATTAGATTTATGGAGCAACTGTGCATATATAATATTTCTTAAAGTATAACTAATATGAATAACTTTGAGGTGTGCAATTCTGATTAATAAAATAAGAAGTGTCTGGATGCATGACATCAAGATAAACGTAGGTCAGCATTCTTTATAAAAATCTCAATAAAGCAGGCAATGCCATCCAATAGAAATTGGCCATTGTTTCATCATATTCAGCTTCCCCACCTGTAACAAAAGATACACTAGTTTTCAAAAGATAACTATTATGATTTGGATAGCCAGTTTACTCTAGTGGTTAAAATGCTGGGCTAACAAGGAAACCTGAGTTCTAGTACTGTCTTAGTCATGAAAGCCAGGTAGATGACCTTGGACTGGTCACTTTCTCTTAGGCCTAAGAAAAAGGCAGTGGCAAACCAGTTCAAAAAATACTGCCTAGATAACTGCATGGACTTGTCCATGTAGTCACCAGGAGTCAAATCTGATTCAAAGAAAAAAAAAAAAGAATATCCAATGTAAGTTGCTGCATTTTTATACATATAGAACCACAGTCTTGACTGATACATAACAGTTCAAAACCAAACTACCAAATTATAGGATACCAGAATATGATTCTTAAGAGACTACACTATGTCACTGTAAACAATTCAGCGAGTATATAACCAGTAGAACTGTAACCCAATTAAACTTATACAACTTTAAAAACAGTATCATATATAAAATCTATAAAAGAATGCATATCTCTCCAGATAATACAAAGATTAAGAGACATGACAAATTAACTATTTAGAAGAGTGGACTGCTGCTAGCACTATCTGACGCTATGTATAATTTAAAAGTTACTGAGCATTGCAAACAAGTGAAATAGTTTCTGCTCAGAAGACTTAGATATACTCCTTTAGATACTTTTACACTAATTTTTCTTAGCAACTATAGTATAGGTGACAGAAAGTCACATAGACAACCATTAAACCATAGAATGACACTATTAAATAAGGATATATATACACACACATACACATATTAATATGAGGGTATATATGTTCACAAGCAATGCTTCCTTTGTTAGCAAGGAAAGGGGAGATGGGAAAGAAGCATGGAAGAATAGTACTAATAAAAAAGTCACATTCACTTTCTCAATTTTCTTACTGTCAAAATTATCCAATCAGGTATACAGGTAGTCCTTGATCGGGACTGGAATTTCTGTTACTAAGTGATGCAATCATAAAGCACAACTGCATCACTTAGCGACAGCAATCCCTGCAATCCCGGTTTCCACCATTAACCAAATCCCATGGTCATTAGGCTAGGCAACTTCTTGCTAGCTTCCCACAATCAAAGTCAATGGGGAATCTGGCAGAAGGCTGCAAGTCCCAAACTGGCAGGCAGGTAACTGGCTGCTGCTGGGTGAGGGAGGGAGTGAGGATGTGAGTGGGGGAGGGTACGCAACAGGCACGGGATGGGGAGGGTGTGTGGTGCAGGTTGGGGAGGGTGTGTGATGCAGATTGGGTGTGTGAGGATGTGTGCGAGAGACACAGCGTGGGTCAGGTGTGCAAGAGGCATGACATGGGTGTGAGGGGGTGTGCAAGAGGCATGGGTCATGGAGGATGTGCAAGTGGCCAGTGCAGCATGAGCGTAGATGGGCTGGGGGAGGGTGTGCGAGTGAGGGATACTTACCCCAGTGACTTGCAACCTTTGCTGCCGGCGTCCCCACTGACTTTCTGAGGAAGCCAGCAGGGAAGATTGCAAATGGCAATCATGTGATCGCGGGGTGCTGCAACCAGTTGTAAGTGCGAACCAGTTGCGAAGCGTCCAGATCGCAATCACATGACTGGCGGGGTGCTAGGATGGTTGAAACTCCGAGGACTGGTCATAACCACCATTTATTCGGTACTGTTGTAACTTTGAACGGTCACTGAACGAATGGTCGTAGGTCGAGGACTACCTCTAGTTGCTTTAAATGACCATATGTAATACTTCTCAAAAGCATCAGGAAAAGTACCAAGATGCAGCCATTAGCACTACAACTTGATAAAGAATACATGGCTTCATCACTCTGAACCCTTAAAAGCCCTTTAAATACATTTTCATTACAGTCTGCATTGGTTTAATTTTAATAAGTTGGCTCTTTGGAGTTTTTTAAACTGCTGCTTATAAATAAGAGTTGATGGGGCAATTATTTTTATTATGCTTGAAAATTAGCTGCCTTTGTAGGGGCAAACTGCTCTGAAATGTAATTTAGAAATCTTTCAAGTGGTAAGTGCAGTGCATGTCTCCTCAGAAGTAAGGCCCACTGAGTTTTATCAGTTTAAGTGGGTATAACATGGCAGTCTCAATGAGGCCGAAGATCTAGCTGTCCATATCAAAATCATGATTTCTTTGGCAAAGTGGTTTTCTATTTAGGTCTTAAAATATTCATATCCCCATATACAGGCAAACGTTTGCATCTAGTTTGCAGAAATGTTGTTACTGAACTGAAATACTCAATAGCAGAAATGAAGTATAAAGCATAGAAGAGGCATGGAAAAGAATAGCCCTGGCCTGTTGTGCTAAATGCCATGGCATTAGGTAACTGAGTTTATTCACATAGAACCAGGATTCCAAGGAAATCATGTTATAAAATAGAAAATTGCTAAAATGTAGGCCTAGCATTCTACATGAATGCATTGTTCCTTCAATAATTCAGAAGGATGTAAAGTTTGGAAAAAGTTTTTTCATAGGAGTGTTTATAAGCATACAGAAACCAAGATGAGATTGAGAATACAACACAATACAAAAAAGTAGCTAGAACAGTTGTTTAAAAAGTTAAACAAAATTAAAGCTCTGTCCCATCATCACCGAAAGCAGTTGCGATTTCTGAATTTTCTTTTACTGTGTTAATAATGCAGTTGTAAAACTTGTAAGTCTGCATTATTTCAAATAATAACATAACTGATTACTTACCCGTAAATGCTGGAATGCATGAATGCTGTATGGCAGATCTAAAATTTTAGTACATTCTGGTTCTTCTAGGTCTAGAGGTAAAGGAGACTTTGTGTCTACATAATCTTCAAGACTAAAGCATAAACAAAACAAACAAATAAATAACAGAATTTTGATGCAATGAAATAAATTACAAAGTACTAATTAGAAAAAGCAATGTGGAAATACTGTCAAAAATCTTCAACTCTACTAAAACATATATTTCTATATCACTTCACTGTTCATTCTTTCATCTCCCAAAGCAACTATAATTAACAGGATAACCAATAATCCAGACAGCTTGTTACTAAGTAGGGATTGTTATGATATCCCTTTCCCACCTCCTAAAATTATAGGTTTTCTAATTTTTTGTACAATTAGCTATTTTAGTACCTGATGTCTTTGCTCTCTAAGGTGATATAAGTGCCACCATAGAGATCCAAATCCCCCAAGGGCACCTTTGCTTTAATGCAGTCAGGATCTTCTTTATTATGCCTTTGTTCCAATCCTGTATCTCTGTCTTCATTCTCCTCTATATGGATCTTCTGAGCTACTAATTGTTTCTACAAAAAAAACCCCCACCAAAATAAAATCAAATGCATAGTTCAAAATGCAAACATCACTAAAAATTCATATTCATTTCTGTTTCTATGAAAATGACATGGCAATTGTCTCTTGATCCTTAACCTCAGGGGCTATAGGGGTCATGTACAGTAATGTTACTAGTTAGTGATCTGAACGTTTTCTGCCTATTTTTTGAGGTTGGGGAGTGGTTAGGATTTTAAGAGTTAAAATGGGAGTATTAAGTCTTAGGTTCATCTTTATTTTTATTTAAGCAAAAATTTGCCAAAGATAATTCTATTGAAACTTGGACATTTTGTACCTAAATCATATCACCAAAAATCAGCAATTCTTTTCAATCTGAAATGGCTTCCTGTTTTTCAAAAGTGACTTTCTGCTTATATGGTGCATGTACACAAGGAAGAACCTTAAGTGCAGAGGCCAACCTGCCTCCCCACCGTATCTTATTATACAACTATAGTTGTTTATCTTTTCCGAGTTCCAAATCTACCCTCTCTCTCACTGCAATTTTGAAAAAAGGCACGGCATTGGAACCTGAAGAAGTAATTTCTTATTTCCAACTATATTAGACAACTTCTGCCTGGTCTCCCTTTTTTAGGGAAGATTTCAAAGAAGATGGTGGGCTATAGTCACAAAGAATCTTAAATGATTATCTGAACACCTTTCAGTCATGGTTCAGGACCTGGAACTTGAATGAAAACTGCATTGGTTGCTCTGGTGGAAACTTCTGTTGATATCTGGATGGGGTGATCACAACCCTCTTGGTCCTATTAGATTTTTTGGCAGCATTCAGTACCATTGACCATGGTATCCTACTAGACCATCTGTGAGGTCTAGGAGTGAGTTCACTGTGGTTCCGCTCCGTCCTGAGATGGCAGTTCCAGACAGTAGTAATGGGTACAAAGTGGCCAAACCCATGGCTCTTCTATTGTGGAGACCAATAGGGTTCCATTTTCTCTCTCATGCTATTCACCATCTGTATGAAACATCCTCTCTAAGTAAAATCTGTTCATCCAGTACAGTCTTCCTGAGAAAAGATGCTCTGAATTTCCATCTTAGACAAAGTTAGTGGGGCCGGGGGCCAGAAGCAGATCTTTTTGTCTCCTAAGATTAGATTGGCCCCCTTCCCTATTTATTAGGAAGGTGGTTAACATAATTTTGTTCCACTGGGCATTTGAGGATTAGGGATATTTTGGTGGGCTTAATCTCATTGTGGATCTGTTTTTGTTTACATATACATTTGTTTTTAATGAATGATGGTATATACTGATTGTATTTTTATTGACTTACTACATGTTGTAAATTGCTCAGAGTCTTGAGATGGAAGTAGTATACAAAAGTACAGTACTATGCAAAAGTTTTAGACAGGTGTGAAAAAATGCCTAATTTGAAAGTAAGAATGCTTTCAAAAATATATATTGTAATTGTTTATGTTTATCAATTTACAAAATGCAAAGTGAGCAAACAGAAGAAAAACCCAAATCAAATCAATATTTGGTGTGACCACCCTTTGGCTTCAAAACAGCATCAATTCTCCTAGGTATACTTGCACACAGTTTTTGAAGGAACTCAGCAGGTAGGTTGTTCTAAACATCTTGGAGAACTAACCACAGATCTCCTGTGGATGTAGGCTGCCTCAAATCCTTCTGTCTCTTCATGTAATCCCAGACAGATTCCATGACGTTGAGATCAGGGCTCTGTGGGGGCCAAACCATCACTTCCAGGACTCCTTGCTCTTCTTTACGCTGAAGATAGTTCTTCATGACCTTGGCTGTATGTTTGGGGTCATTGGGCTGCTGCAGAATAAATTTGGGGCCAATCACACGCCTTCCTGATGGTATGGCATGATGGATCAGGATCTG